TTAGCATCAAACAACATGCATCAACAAGCTTAAGCAAGCACACATTCAAGTGGGCAAGTATTTATTAATGTGCAATTGAACAAATCATGAAACTTAGACAATCAAGCATGTAAACAAATTAATCATCAATCCATGTAAGTACTTCCAAGTGAGGCTAAAAAGCTTAAGAAATATCCACAAATGTCAGCCATATCAAGCAATGGAGGATAGAGGTGGAAAGGCACCAAAGCAGTCCCAAAACAGCAAGAAAAACACAAAAATTGTCAGGTGTAACCGGTTACCTGGATCTGGGTAACCAGTTACCACGTTCAAAATTTCAGTACCAAGGCATGAATCAGAGATGGTAACCGGTTACCTGATATTGTATAACCGGTTACACTATGTCAAAACAGCAAAAACAGCTTATTTCATAATCACTTATTTGCGCTGGATCAAAATGCTAGGGCATGCAATTGAACACAAAAATTACAGAAATTATGAGCAAACAAACACCAATACACTCAATCATGTAAATCAATGAATAAAACAACACATAAATCACATATATCATAAGAGACTACATTGTAAAAATGCAAAATAAGCTGAAATTGTGTTAGATCCAAAGATTACCAATTTACAAGGCTGAGATTTGCCTTGGTAATTGTTGCAAAATAGAAAATGATGAATGCAATCAAGAAAGCCAGAGATCCAAGATACTCCTCACAAGAAAATTGAAGAAAAATTCAATGAATCGATCAAATCCAGATTTGCTTTAAAAATCACTTCAAGAATCAACGTCCAAGCCTAGATCTGAAGTAGAACCTACTGTTGTTGTAGAACTTGATGTAGAGGAAGTGATGAAATGAAGGTTAAGCTTAAGGATTAACAAGCTTCAATGAAAAGCTTTGTTAACTTTAATGGTGGAACTTTGGTGAGGTTAGAAAAGATGATGAAAATGGAGATAGTGGATGAAAAATTCTGCACAAAGTAAGAGTGAATAGAGAGTGTGATGTGTAAAAATTCAAAATTTGGTGAATAATGATTCTTGTAGCAAATAAGTATGGAGCAAAATGTGGCTTGAAAATGTGACTTGGAGCTAGGTATGGGTTTTGGTTTGTAATTTGGTATTGAGTTTGTTATAACTTTGCATGTTCTAGATCCTTCCATCTAATGTAATGGTGATGCATAACAACAATGAAATTGGATTAATTCTGCTACAGTGCTGAAAAATTGTTGTTTTTGCCAAAATCCACCTGATGTAACCGGTTACGTGAAACAAGGTAACCAGTTACATGCTTGAAAATTTGAATTCTGGCGGCACTTGTGAAGGGTGTAATCTGTTACATGCTTTAGGGTAACCGGTTACATCAAGGTAAAAATGAGAAATCTACTCCGTTGCAACTTGTTTTGAGCATGACTTTGCATCTGAACCTTAGCCTTTGATAATACCCTTGAATAATGCATGAAATGCGATGAGTAACTTGTCTCAAACCCTGGATAACCTCTTACTGGCCTGAATTCCAAGTAATCTCATACGACCTCTGAGCAAAATAAATGCTAGAGATTTCTAATGTTGTTGATCTGGATTTAAACGCTTGAACTAACAACTTAGCCTAAACCTAAAGGATTGAGACTCTGATTTCTTTGCTTTTGCTTGCGCACTTTGGATACAGAAATTCGTACCACAAGAAATAATTTTGATCCCGTGTCTTGAGAGCTCATGCAAATAAATGATTGTGATGTCATGACCTAATGGAGATGCATATAAATGAGAAGAAAAATTCAACTAGGGTTAGAAACAAGAGGAAAATTTTTAGGGTACAACAATCGACATATGATTATTTTTTGGAGAATTTATTATACGATTTCATGCATCTATTATTTTGTCCATAACCACACCTGCCTTCACCAATTTTCCACCTTCAGACTCTATTGGTTTTGTCCATACCGGGGGTTTTACCCGAATTCTCACATTCTTTGTTATGTGATACTTACAAAGTAATGCATAAGAAGAAGGGAATACCTTAGCAACCGAGTTCATCAATGCAGTATCGCGGTCGGTAATGATCATTTTAGGCATCTCACCTTGATCCTTCAAAAATGACTGACACGCCTCTAATTCCCAAGAAAATTTGTCCTCTTCTTCACACTCAAGAAATGCAAAACCAACTGAATGTGTCTTCTCAGTTGAGATAACACCAACCATCTCAAATAATGGAAGTTTATACTTGTTGGTCTTGTAGGTTGAATCAAGTATGAGCACTGTCGGAAACGTGTTGAACAACTTTATCGAATCAGGATGAGTCCAAAAAATATCTCTAATTGTAACTCCGTCATCGCACATTCAGTACCGGGACACGTAACTGTTATCGTCCAACAGTTTCAAGAGTTGTTGCATATCACTTCTATCCCCCCTAATCGCCTTGTTAGTGAGATACCAAATGTTATACACTTATTTGATATTTTCTACGTTGTCAGGTTGCTTCCATTTTTATGTTGCAAGTATATTTTTCAGTTGAATAAGATTCAAGATCATGTCACTAATACATTCCTTCTCTTTCGGCTTAAGCCAACATACACTAGGATGAACGGCTAATTTTAAACACAAATCATGGTTATGCAAACCACATATCACATTAAATCTCCAATTTTTGTTTGCCAACATGTAATCACAAACCTTAAAAGAAAACTCACATTTCTTATTACCCATGTCGTCTCTTTTAAGTTTTTGGAGAGGAGTTCGATATCTCCCGCTTTTTTCACACAATATTGTCACAAAGGCGCATCTTCTATCCGAGTCATTATCGGACCTACCGATTCTTTCACACAACATTGCTACATAAAGGTTGGAAAATAAACACAAACACATTCTGAAAATGTATCTCCAAAAAAGTTCAAACTCAAACACGTTCCGGAGATACATCTTCGGACACTGCATAAGTTTTTTCAACAATATTTACCTAAAATTTAATCTTATTTTCCTCCCTATGATACATTGAACTAAAAGAATGGATATTTAGAGTGAAAAAATAGATTGAGAATGAAGGGTTTTTAGGGTGAGGGTTTTTGTTGAAAATGGAGTATGACAACAATGGAGGACTGATCATGCAACTGCAAGTTATATCAAATACTTCTAGAGATGCATCTCCAGAAATACCTGACTTACAAAGGTGATAGAAACCATTTTGGAGATATATCTCTGGATTAAAAACAGACCAAATGTATGGGGCGTGTCTCAGAATTTCCTTGATTGCGTATGTAAAGGGTGCGTTCGAAGATATATCTCCGAAACCGAGAGGCATAATTGAAAATTCAAACGATATACGAAAAACTTATAGGGTCTCACCCATGTGGACTAGTCCATTTTGATAGTTTTAAATACAACATAGAAATAAGAAAATGATAATATTGTTTTGGTCATTCTATTTATATTCGTTTACGAAATTTATACTGATAACTCTGTTGTAGTACTTTTGGATATAAAAATAGTGCTATGAGATATTTTAAATAATATGCAATGATCATTACCAATAAAATTGCAAGAAAACCCCTTTAAAACTTAAGTTTCAACTTCTGAAATTATCCACCTTTGTAGTAATTAATTGATCCTTTTGACAATGTTCGGACGACACCTCCTCCTCAAAGCTCTCCAGCAAGTTACAGAGATTTTCTCATATGGTGTAAAATTAGTCGAAACTCTGAATCTACAGCTTCAATTCTACACACTAGTAATGTATTCATTTTCATATCTCAATCATCTATCTTGGACTTTCAATTCATGATTCTAGTGTATTCGTCCATGTTACCCCTAATAAAGGTTTTTTATTTTATGTATTTACATATGGTTTCTTTCTTATTATAACTTTGACTAATAGTTTCCAAATGTGATTCTAGGAGATTGATATTCTCCAAATCATTCATTCATTTTTAGTTTCTTTTGTTTTTTAGGTATTTGATTGTCCGTTTATTCTTCTTTCAGTCGCTCGTTTAACTTGTTTTCATGAATGTCAAGGTCTTTATTACCTTTTATTAGCTATGTCTAATAAGACCGTTCAAGTTTTTTAAAACTTTAACGGCATGTTTGGATTGATGGAATGGTATGAATTTAAGTTTAATTGTTTGGATTGATTAAAAAAGATGGAATAGAGCGAAACCGGATGAAATGCATTTCATCCCATTCTATCACTTTCCATCAATTCTTATACCTTCTAATTTGGGCGAAATGACAAAATCTCTATATTCCGTCATAAAATACCCAAACAATGGAATGACATATTTATTCCGCTCCGCTCCGCTCCGTTCATTTTACAATATCCAAACATAGCCTAAAAGTTTGTGTCAATTTTATTTAGGGTATGTTTGGATTTGTGGTATGGGATGAAATGGAATGGAGTGGAGTGGTAACTAATGTGATTTCATTATTTGAATTTGCAAATAATTAATAGAATAGAATGGAACATGATGGAATCCATTTCATCTCATTCTATCTAATTCCTCATTTTTTGTTTCATCCAATTTAGAGTGTATACGATGAAATGAAATATTTTTAATAAAATAACTAAATAATAAAGTGAAATATATATTTCATTTCCCTCCGTTATGTTTCATCAAATTCAAATATAGTTTTAAGTTCTCTAATTTACATTATGTGTGATTTTAGTTAAAGAAACATATTTGCAGTTACTTTTCTAATCTAGTTAACAAACGAGCTTTGTTTTTTTTTTTCCACTCTAATGTTTGAATCCTTTTTTGTACTATGTCAACTTTTGAACAATTTGTATCATTGATTCAATTTCAAACAGATGAAAACAACAACAATGGCAAGCAATACTATGTTTAATCCAAATCCAATATGTAGTGAGTGTCCACTTTTGCTTTTGGGATGAAACTCTTTCAAACCTTTATTACAACAGAAATACAAGAGTAAAAGAACAACATATTACAGAAATGAAACACTAAAATATAGTAGAAAAACAATAGAAATCCCATAGATGATATCTTCCTGAAATGCATTCTTGATCTCATTCAAGTCCTGAAATCTTCCTGAAATGAAGGACAAACTGGTAAACCTTTTCAGGGTCAGGAAGGACTTTCTTCACAGACTCTCTTTCCAAGCTTCTCTTAATCCAAGCAGAGAATTTTGGTGAGTGATCCTCGATCTTGAAACCGCCAAGTTTCTCATATGCTAAAAACCATGCAGAATGAGGAATGGCTATGACGTCAACGAAACCAAAAGCATCGCCACCAAAATAGTCTTTCTCTCCGAGAGCTTCTTCTAGATGCTTTATAACTTCAAGAAAGTCTCTTGTTCCCACTTCTCTATCTTCTCCATTGCTAGCCCAAATGCTCCTCCCAGTTTCAAATACCTTGCATCACAAGTTATCATATCAAAATCATATATGTGACACAGTTTTAAATAATTTTTCGAGTATTTTATCGCAACTAACCTTTTTGTCTATGAAATCAGCCAAGAATCTAGCTTGTGCAAGATCATAAGCATTAGCCGGAAGCAATGAGTTGGAAGGCCAAACCTCATCAATGTAGCTAACAATAATAGCAGATTCAAGAACAGGTTTGTCATTGTGCAAAAACACAGGCACCTTTTGGTGAATAGGATTTGACTTCAAAAGAAGCTCACTTTTTTTTCCAAATATATCCTCTTCATTACTCACATGATTCACACCTTTCTCTTCCAAAGCAATTTTCACTCTAGCACAGAATGGGCTAGCCCAAAAGTCCAAAACGACAACACTGTCTCCCTTTGACATGTTAACAGCAATAATTCTTTGAACTCTTACTCTTTTCTTTTCTACTTGTGATGTCTTGAAGTTGTGAGAGAATTATTGAAATTTATAAGAAAGTTTAGTTAAAAAATTTAGACTACGGTGTTTACTATGTTTTCTTTGTATCTTCCTTCAAAATTGATGTTACTACAATGTTGTCAGTGTCCTTATCTATGTATTGGTTTGAACGTGAGATGAGAGGAGCATCTACTACTAGATAGCATCAAATGGCCGGCAAAATGTAACTATGTTTTTTGTTTCATTTATTTGAATCTAATTACAATTTGATTGGTGCTCATTCTATTGAAACTTCTCTCCTCTCCATGATTGAATCAAACAGTGCATTTTGAAAAATATATCATCTAGTAACATATACTATCATTGCACTTTGGAGTGTAAAATTGAAAACAAATTGGGAAATCAAAAAAATATGAAACCATTCTGTACATGTATATATATATACAAAAGAATTGCATCTTTTTTTCTTTTTTTTTTGATAAAATAGAATACTAAAATAATTAAATTTATCCCTACTGCACAGCATTGGCCTCTGAAACTTTCAAGCAAACACACATGTGAAGAAAATACTCAGGATTCATTAAGTTGTTAACCACCCAAGAAAAAGGTATTTCCGAACTCGGTTCTATCCCTTGAACGCGTACGCACTTGATTTCTGCAATTTCGGGTGTTTGGCAAGATGACGCTGGATCAAGTGAACTTTCTCCCTCTTCTCCTTCGTTAACAAAAGAACTTTCCGGAAAGTACTCAGGCAGAAGTCTTTTAACCGCATCGGTTAAGCTAAAGTATTTACCTGCATCCATTGAACATCATGCAACATTAAGATTTGTTTTTTTGAATGGCATGCGACATTAAGAATGTGGATTACCACCATATGCATCTTCGTATCAAAGAAAAAAGAAAAAGAAAGAACATCGACAAACATGGAAGATATTCAACTTAAAAACTCTATGGAGGAATTTTTCCCATGAGACGTGACTTACTATCTTCCTTATAAATCTCAACAGGTCGGTTGATATACGAGACTTTGTCCCAATTATCAATTTTTGGAGCATCTTCTAAGTCATCAAAATCGTCGTTGACAGTCCACAAATATAAGCGAACAGGAATCCTACCTAACAAGATAGTAAACGTTAACCAAAATTAAGTTTAATATGGACGGGAAAATGTGCATGCATGAAACCAACTGAAGCCGCCAATGTCAAAAGTACACCCAAAAAAGTTGAGGTAAACATGTATCAGACCATAAATGAAAAAGGAAAGAGGAGAAAACAGCAAGCCAAATTGGTTAAAAAAACAAGTTGATATTTCTCACTTGTCTTCACTTGTCCAGCAGCTTCAGCATCCCCGGTACTTTGTTCAGATTTAGTCGAAACTGAATCTATATTTTCTGTATATTGCTCGTCATAAGTTTCAAGCTTAAGCTTAGATGACACCCGTCTATAAGATTCCAAGTTACCTGTCATGGAAATGAGTGTTGACAAAAGTCCATGAGAGGAGAGCAACAAACTTATTTTCCAAATATTACCTATGTAGATATAGACTGTGTTATTTCCGGATTTCTTTTATTGAATTACATTTTGTTACTTAACATTTTTGAATTTTATGATAAAATAGTGTTCATCCAGATAAGTGATTGATTATATATTATGCAACTTGTTCTTGGAAGTGCATGGCATTTTTAACCATGTGACTTTTGATAAAATTTGTTCTCTCCTTAAATCCCTAAAATAAAATATTACCACAATGGGCGGAAAATTGCAACGACTTTTACTTGTAGAATATGAGCAGAAAAAGAAAATGAAAATGAATGAAGTATATAGGCATTAACATCAAGCAATTAATAACCATACCACTTAAAACAGATCCCCAAAGCTCCACCTGATCAGTTTGAGACATGTTCATGACATTCTTGCAATTTCCATTTATAACATATGCAGCCTGCAGTAGAAATTTAAATACAGTCAAGCTCAGAGATGATAAAAGCACTAAACATCACATATAGTGTTATCGAAATGACATTACAAATTTTCTAAAAAGTTAACGGCTTATATATGTTACTGGTTCTGCACATATTAAAGTTTCTTTCAATATTTGTAAAAAGGAACTAGGCAAGTAGTGGACTAAAAACAAAATTTAAGCCAAAATTAATTCTAAAAAATGAAAGGGGAAAACAGTTCTACATAGATTTTAACTAAACCACCAATGGAGTAGTAAATGTGTGCATTATTGCAATGTATTCAGAAAAACACTAACTATAAACTCACCAAAGTATTTCACAGCAAGGTTGTTCAACAATTATAACATTAACTTTGTCTATAAATATTTATCATTTACCATTACTTGAACATAACCTTAATAAGCCTTAAATTAACCAAGTTCTACTTATGTCACTAAAGTGAGATTGTTTAGCAGTGTAGTCACATAGCCGCTATTGCGTAGCAGAATTTGAACAGAAATCGACAATCACTATTGTTCTGCGATACGCTATATAGTACAAAGCTGTCAATAGCGGCTATAGCACTGTAGCATACGAGCAAATACTAGCCACCATTCGCTATTTTATCATATATAGGCGTGAGGTATCATGTTATGAATCAACCATACATGCATTGAAATAAAAGATCACACAGCTAACCTCTTTTAGTGAGTTGATAAAGCTCCACTTTACACTATCTTCACCTTCACATGGAAGCAATAAATTACTTGGATATCCTCTAAAGTGCACCTACAAGTCAGAGAGTACAGTTACTGAATATAGCTCTGCATTGGAAAGATAACTTCATGATGTCATTAAATGTTTGTAGTGAAGCGATCTTAATTATCACATTAGTACCCTGTGGAATTTCAGCAGAATTTTTTCGATATATTTACCTATTTATTTGATGATCCCCTCTCAACAAATTTCAAGCATTTTCTTCATAATTGTTCAAGGAACAGCACAAACAAGATAAAATTTTAATTTGAAGGTTTTTTCCAACCCAAATTTTATTAAAGATTTCATGCTACCTTTATACAAAAAAGACTTCATTTTGAAACATTTACATGAGGTGCTCAATCAAACTAACTAAAGAGGAAAATCAAAATAACTTACTGTTAAATTCCACGGCCTTTCTGGCTCCATACATAAAAGATCAAAAAGAACTCCGGTAGGTATATACCTGTACAAACCATGGCAAAAAAAACTTTCCAAGATTAAAACTTTACTTTCCGTGAGTTACATACTATGCTTGCTGCTGCAGACATGTTTCTTGTTGAGAAAATAAATAGTTAGTGCAATGTAACTCTTAGATTATATACTGGACTTAACTCATTCTTACAAACTGACTTGTAAGGTGAGGGTTACTAAACTTAATAAACACTACACATGCCATATCTCTAGGCAATATGATACTAAATTCACCCTTTCACACCCAACGCGATGAAGGTGTTGGAGGTTGCAATAAAGGCAACTCAAATGACACAATAAGCCGGCTAGGAACAGACTGCAAGGAAGGTGAAATTTCTAACACACACCCTCATGCTCAAACCCAATGAGTCGTAACCGTGGACGATACGGGAAGCCCAACAACAGATCTAGAATAGACTCTAATACCATCTTAGATTTTATATTGGAGTCAACTCATCCTTACAAAACCGGCTTGTAAGGTGAGGGTTCCTAAGCTAAATAAATATAAAGGTCATATCTCTCGGCAATGTGAGACTAAATTCATCCCTCAAACCCAACACAATGAAGGAGTTGGAGGCTGCAAGCAATGATGGCAACCCAAATGTTGCAATTGGGCGGCTAGGGGCAGACTGCAATGAATGCAAAATTTCCAACCGTAACTAATAACTGAAAAACAATGATAAGTAACAACCATAAAATGTTTTTAACACCAAAGAATGGGGATATTAAAGGGTAAACAAATTAATACATCAATAAAAGTTCATTCTATAGCAAATATCAAAATTGGTCTTTGAAATTTTAAGACTATATCAATCTAGTCACACACACTATCGATATTTCATAATGGTCCCTAAAATTGTAAAATTTTATTCGAATATGTCCCTCCATTGTTATTTGCAGGATCAGAACAACATTAAGTTGGTAATATCAAAGACGAATTTGAAACTAAGTGAACAATGTTATAGATACATTTGATAACACATTCACACTAAGGAACAAACTTGATTAACATTTTGGAATATTGATCATTCGGGAAACTAGGTTGATTCATCCTTACAATTCCAAGGACCAATTTAAGTACTTACTCTTCCTCCTAATATATCTAATCCAGGACAATTTCATATCTCTACACCAATCAAACATAAATACAATAAAACAAATAGTATAAAACCACAGAATACCATTTGAGAGGCAATCCATTGTACTCAAACCAAATGGTGTCTACTCCAGGAGGAAGTGCAGAGCTAAAATGAGGCTTCAACAAAGAAACCAAAAGAGGCAAGTACCCAATCCTAGGGGCCAAAACCTAAAACCACGACAAACAAAATGTTAAAACAACAATCAAATGCAAATAAATACTCCAAAAAAGTTCAATTGAATAGCAGCATGTAGTAATTAACTAAAAAGGTAACATTTTTTAGGTTTAAATGAAAAAACCCTGTGATGTTAAAAATCAAGGTTGAAGTGAAAAATAAGAAACAATTAGGAAAAAGGAAAGGGTGTTTCATACGAGAGCGGGTGATGGAGGAGGAAGAATGGTGACTTCAGATTCATGAAGATGAATTTGAAGAGGAATTGCCCCTTTCCATACGTACTGTTGCGCTTCACTCATCTCTTTCGGATCTCTCTTTCTCGGTCGGTCGGTGCAGTCCTTGATCAACTTGTGACTCTTGCTGCAACCCTCCTTCTTCTTCTTTTTCTCTCTTTTTGGTGTTATTTTATTATTGAGTTAAATAAGATTTTAGTCCCTATAAGAAATAGTGTTTTTTATTTTTTATAAAATAATTAAGCACGAAATTTTAATTCTACTATGAAATTAATGTATATTTTTAAATGATTATTTTACAGATATATTTAAAATACTATAAAAAAATTTAAAAATTAATTTGTAAGACAAAATTTTCACTATTTTTATTATTATTTTTTAATTTTAAAATTTTATATTTAATTCTTGTCATTTTAAAAATTATATAATTTAACATTTTAGAGTAATCTGAACATATATCAATCAAAAAAATTATTCAAAAGTTTAAAATTTTAGAGGTAATTAAATAGCTTTTAAAATTTTAGAAATTAACAAAGACTAAAATATGCATAAAATTTTTGTAGGGACCAAAATATATCCTTTTTTTTATAGAAACTAAAAATGAAATGTGAGATATTTATAAGGATCAAAAACATATTTAATTTTTTATTATTTATTTCTGTTGTTATTTAAGTGAATTTAAATTTACTTTATTTTATTCTAGTTTTATTTATAGAATTTAATCTTTTTTTTATATGCTAAACCACTTTTGTTATTTGGAATTTGGAATTTTGCCAAATAAATTTGGATTAATTATTTGAACAGATTTGTTTATTTTATTGAGGAATTACTGATCCGAATGTTTTTTTGGCTGAAGCCAAAACAACAACACACATTAGTCCAAGAAATATGATCTTTATTAATATTTTGTTGAACTAGCTTATGCAGAAAGGAAGGAGACTTAATAAATTTATAATTATTGGTTGGAATAGAAAGAATAACTTAGCAAGGTAATTCACACACTTGTTAGTTTCGTGGAGGATGTGCTAGTGTTAAGCAGTGTTTTTTGGTTGTCTTGAATTTTGCAAACCATACTCAAACTTAGTTTGTTGTTGGACTTAGTGCTAGTAAGGGCTTTTACAACTTCCATGTAATCAATATGAAATTCTACTTTGTTGAATCTACAACCTTGGGCCATACGAATGCCTTCTAACACACCCTACAATTCTGCATTGTAGGGCATTACAGTTTCCAATATTATTAGCAAGACCTCCAAGTCAGTCACCTTTATCGTTCTGGATGATGTCTCCACAACCTGCTATGAACTTATTATTAACAGCTCCATTTGTATTGACAGTGATCCAACCTTCATCAGCAGAAGCCCACCTTGTTTGAACTTTATTGTTAGATTAATACACCACAGGTTGTTGTACGGCCATAGTGCGACTATAGTTAGCAGTTGCATTCTAAATATCTTTGGCCAAAATATAATGTAGAACAAAGTTCTGCTTATGGAGCTTATGGTTTCTCTAATGCCAAAGCTTGTGACACGCATTAGCCCAAAGAGCTTTCCAATTTGTTCCTTCTCTTCCCAAATTCTAATTCATATCTAGCTCAAGCCAATCATCACGAGGGAATCTAAAGAAGATATCTTGAAACTTGGGATAAAGTGAACACTGCCAGGTTTCCTTAGCCACATTGAAGTCCCGCATAACATGTATCATGCACTTTGCTTCACCTAGGCAGTCCTCATAGAACGAGTCTCTGGTCTTAAGCTTATTAAGATATATATTGGTTTTTAAACAGTGATGATACAACAGCCACACCAGATTCCTTATTCTTTCAGGAACTCTCAGCTTCCATATTTTTCTCCAATTCATAATTTTAATGTCCTTAAAAGGTTGAGTAATATTCTCTTAAGAACTAGAAATAGAGAATTCGTCGTTTGTAGTTCCACTCTAAATGCATGTGTCTTGTTGGTTGCTATCCCTAAGAGGAGGCTTTATGGCTCGAATTTTCTCAATTATATCAGTAGGAAACTGAGACTTAAGAATACTCGAATTCCAGACTCAATGAGTATCAACTAAGTTACTTAGCATGGTGACGTCTTGGATAGAGGCAATGTTTAAAAGAACCTCTCTAAGCTTGAGGCTTTTCTTCACCAAATAGTCATCCCAAGCATTTAACCTTTTGTCATCCCCTATTTCTCACAAAGTGAGGTTATCAAATTGACCAGTTTTTAGCAATATGTTTCCATAGGCTTGAGTCGCACCTTTTTGCTTCCATCAAATTCCTTTCAACCTTATTCCTTTTGTATTTTTTTTTCAACATTTGACACCATAAAGTCGTGCCTCCACACTTAAGCTTCCAACCCGACTTGTTTTTGCATGCCTCATTCATCTGACTAATATATCTTAAGCCCAATCCTCCATGATTCTTAGGTTTTCAAATGTCATATCATCCAATGGTATGGAACTTTTTAGTATCATTATTATGGTCCCAAATAAAATCCTTTTGCATCCTTTGGATCTTCTTCAAGCAATATTTAGTCACCATGTTGCTCATCATGGTATAAGTTGGGAGAGCTTTTATAACAGATTTAGCAAGAGTGATATGCCCAATAAAAGACAGTTGATTCTATTTCCAATTAATCAGTTTAGTCTTGACTTTATTCACCAGATATTGGTAGTGTCTTTGCCTCAGACTCTTATCTGTCTGAGGCACCCCAATGTATATAACTATTTCATCAGCTTCTTTGAAACCATAAATGAAAGTTATTCTTCTTATAGTGTGCAAAAGGAGTGTTTTTAGAAAACATGATTATAGTTTTAACCTTACATACTTGTTGATCAGAAGCAACACAAAACACATTCAGAACTTCCACGATGCTAGTGATTTGTCTTTTAGTTGCTTGGTCGAAAAGCAAGAGATCATCCGCGAACATGATATGAGAAACAGTTATGCGTTGTTTACAAGCTCTCATACCTATCCAGTTTTTATTCTCCACCACAACCATAATCAAATGCGATCATTTATCCATACACAAAACTAAGATATAGGGAAAGATATAGTCACCTTGTCTTAACTCTTTCTTAGTCTTGAAATAGTCACCTTTTTCCCATTCTGAGTAACACACATTTGGAAAGTAATGATAGCTTGCATGAGGATATATCTCTACTTTAGGGGTATGTCGAACTTTGTAAGCACATTATCCACAAATTCCACCTTAATCACAAAGAGGTTACTTTTACCATTTAGCTTGTGCATACTATGGAAAAGCTCTTAAGCAACAACAATATTATCATGGATAATTCTTTGAGGGATGAAACCAGTTTGATTCAAAGTTATGATGTTGTTCATGAAGCCTTTCATTCTGTTCACCAAAGTACGACTCAAAATTTTATATGTAGCATTACACAATGTTATAGGACGGAAATGAATGTTGTACTCCGGTTGATTAGTTTTGGGAATTAGGAAAAGATAAGTTTGGTTAAACTCGGTAATCTTCTTAGGATGTTGTCGTAATTGCTTTAAGTATTTGCACACTCCTCCTCCAATAATCTCCTAAGAATTTCGGTAAAAGCCTGTGGGAAAACCATCGGGACCGAGAGATTTCCAAGGAGCCATCTTGAAAGTGGCTTGTTTGATCTCTTCCAAACTTAGCTCAACAAAATGGTTGTTGAGAGTTAACTCAACAAGTTGAAGAAATGAGTGATAGGTCAAATTCCAATTAGCAACATCAATCTCAGTGGTGTACAATTTATGAAAAGTCTCCTTAAAAGCAATATTGATTTCAACAGGGTCTTGAATCCACTTACCTAAAGCATCAATGATAGTCTGGACGTGTTTTCTTTTTCTTCTACTCTAAAAGGATTTCACATGATAAAAACGGATATGCGAAAGTCATATGGATAAAGGAGCAAATCACCTTAACCCGCTCTAATACCAATTATAACTATTATAAAGTGCACAATATAGGGGAGGAGTGAATTAGACTTGCTGGATTTTTTCAGGTTTTTTCCGGAAACAAGTTAAGTGTTGCAACTTGATTAGAATAATGTTATGCAGAAAACAAAAGTGCAAAAAATTAAATGAAACAAATATGTATACTAGTTTCCCTTTCCAACCAAGGGTACATCTAGTTCTCTCACACCTTGTGAGAGATTTCCACTATCATTAGATCTTTGTATAAGCCTCACAATAAAACTTCTCCTACAATCTTCTAATAACAACAAAGAAGAACACCACTTCCTTGATTTCCAACAACACTAACAACTATGGTGGACTTTGAATCAAACCAATTCAAATGACCTTCTTACAAACAATCACCAATTATTTAATGATCACAGTAATATATATTTAACACTTGAATTTGTATCACTTTTGACTTACTTGCATTACAAGATATATGAAAATTTTGGCTCTCCTCTTTCTCTTTGATCGCAATCCAAACCTATACACTTAAGTGCTCATAAATGAATATGAATGAGACTTGTTTAAATGATGTAAAAGTTTATGTACAATGTCTCATTTAAAAATATATGAGCACTTAATAACTTTGTTTGAATTAATTTGAAAACTACATTTTGAAAGAGTTGAATTTGAAATTTAAAATTTGATTTCTATTTATATGACATAAGATTCATTTGATCTATCATGACAATGTTTGATATTTCATTAGAAAAACAATTGCAATGGTTTGGGAAAAGTTGTCATGGAGAGATACCGTGAAGTGGTATGTCAATGTTTTAGAAAAATGAAAAAGCTTCAGAAATAATACATTGGTCCTTGATGTTAATCGATTGGTCCATTCTTTCTAACGTTAAAATTTCGAATTTTTACACAGGATAATCTATTGGTCCATATCATCAATTGATTGGTCCATTGAAAAATATGATTATTCTGAAACAGAGAGTTTGAAACAATCGATTGTGGTTATATGTCAACTGATTGGTTCACTTCACTACTACAGAATACACCTTCGATAACACTAATACTACTACGATTAGCCTTTCCACCTTTGTAATATCGCAAATTGGATTTGCCTCATATATTTTTTTATTTTTTTGAAAGTTATTTAATCACGG